AAAGTTTCGTTTAAAGATTTCAGAATGACTCTTGTATCAGTCCTCAAGAGTGTTTGAAAAATTGTTTTTGAAAGCTTTTTGAAAGTGTCGGTGTGAAAAGAGTTTTGATTTGTTTTAAATAGAGCAAGTATCTATGAGTCATCTACCTACCCTAAGGAATTAGGCTGTGTAAATGTCCTTAAAGTAGTGTCATCCCACCATTGAGAGGTAGGTAGCACCACCGTTGGAGGTGTTCGGGTCAATTCGTTTTTAGGGACAGTGTGGATCATGGACATAAGGACTTACTAAAACGTCCTATACTCGACGACCACGTTTCGAATGTAAGGCAACAGGTGAGGCGTACCCTAGAAGTGGTGTGTGAATTGGTGTGTTATTTTCATGTCAATATTTATCTTTGATCAGGACATGGTGAGCTACGCATTGTTTTTAATTTAGCCATTCATTCTTTCATGCAAAGTTTAGAATTAAAAAGTGCGGAAAATTAAATGCGGAAAGATAAATCCTACGCTATTACAAGGCGCAGGTCTATACATCGCCAAATTACAAAGACCCGTTTGGTAAAAATGCGGAAAATAAATAAATTCCTAATTACTATTACAAGCCTTGAGCAGTTACATAATATTCGAAAGAAAATAAAATGCACGAAAAGAAATTAGAATCGAATGTCCGAGGGTTTTGACCCTTTTGAAATTAAAGTGAAATTAAAAGCTAATTAATTATTTAATAAAAAAGAAATTGTTTTTATGTTTTTTGTATTTATGAAAATAAAGAAAATTAAAATTAAAATTAAAATTAAAAGAAACCCTAATTCTAAGTTATTTTAATTATTAAGAAAATATTAAAGTTTAACCTAATTTACTAATCAATTAATGTACATGTGTATTTACAAAATTAAATAGTAATTACAATAATAAATAAATGAGAAAAATAATTAATTAAGAAAAGGGTGAAAAAATGTCAAAAACCCTAAGTCTAGATATTTTTTATTTATTAAGAAAAGAATTAAAGTTTAAAACCTAAATTAACTAAATTAATTATTAAAATTTATTTACAAAAATAAATTAATGAGTAAATTAATTAACATATTTTAGTTTCTTATTTTTATTATGAAAATTAATTATTTGTGAATTAATAAAACAATAAAAATCAATTAAAAGAATTAAAATTGAAAGGAATTAAAATTAAAAAGAAAGTGCAAACCAGGGGGTGTCAGGCCCCAAAAGGAGGTTTTTGAAGTATTTTTGGCCCATCAGAATAAAGCATTTTTTGACTTCCTGGGATCACGTGTGGAGCGGTTGACTAGTGTGTACCATGGACTGCACGTTCTGGCCTTCAGATTGTTCCTTGAAGCCACTTGGCAGGCTAGCATATGAGCGTGCATGGTAGGCCTTTTGATGGACGCTGCATGGAAACATGTTAAGAGAAAAATTATGAAACATGTGGGGGACCTGGGAATCGAACCCAGGTCCCAAGGCTTGCAACGCATGTCCACTACCAACTGAGCTGTTGTACGCGTTTGTTATTTGGATAGGTAAAGAACATAATATACAAAAACGTTAGTTAATGTTGTAAACAAAAAATCACGCGCCAGTATTTGAATCCCCCTATCATGTAATGACACGCAGGCTTCTTCTTCATTTGTATACCTGCAACATAAGCAAATAAAGGGGGTTTTAAACCCCCACAAAAACAAAGGCCAGAAAATAGCGATTAGAGCATGCTGTAATATAAAAAGGGCGTGAGGTCATGGTTTGTCTCGTCTTGAGGTCACGAATTCAATGGCATAGGTTTTAAGGGCCAATTTTTCCATATGTGAGAACCCCTAATTCGAAGCTTCTGAAACCCTAAAACACGTTATTGGTGAATCACGATACAGGGCCTGATAATGCAATTGAGTTATGTCATTAGCTTCAGAAGGTTAATATTAGTATAAATCACTCAAGAAAAATGATTAAAAGTGCATGAATCACGATGTGGAATTCAAGAAATTGTTGCAAACCGTATGGCCTGTATTCTATGATTCTTGGCACGTTTTGATTGATTCTTGATTGCAAAAGCTTCCTGGATGCTTAGGAAACGTGTTGGAATCCCTTAGAAGCTTTGAATTATCCTCTAACTGTGATTTCAGATTTCAACTTTTGGTGGAAATTTTGCAATTTGGTTCTTAGCCTTTTAGCAGTTTTTCGTGTGTATGAGCATTAGGTTATGTTTTGCCTTTGTATCTGAATGGAATTAGGTCAAGAAACAAGCCCATAATCCATTGAATTAATGATTCCAATCTTTGATTTTTCCACATCTTTTTTCAATCTTTTTGCCATGGAAAACTTGCCAAATAGGGATGATCTTGTCCCCTTAAGATGATGCACGAAATCTTTTGCATATGTGAAAGAAATTTGCTGCATAAAAGATTTGAAAGGCATGATTTGATATTTTTCTTATATTTAAAACTAATTAAATGAATTAATAATAATAAGAACTCAATCAATTAATTAAAAATAAGAAAATAAATCCCTTTGAGCTTAATGAGTCGTGCATATGCTTTGGGTAAGGATTCATGGAAGAATTTGAGGCCCATTAGCATTTTTAAAGCCTTTTGTGCAAAGTTGATTTTTCAAAATTCCCAAAAATTTCCCAACTTCTCCAAGGCATATCTTGCTCAATTTTGAAGCTATGATCATGTTCTTGGACATTTTGGAAAGGTCTTGAAGTCCTATAATCAATGTCTTTGGTCCCATGTCATTTTGATTTACCAATCTCAAGTTATGGTCTTTGACTTAAAGTGCCTTTTTGTTGACTTTTAAAAATGACCTATAATGTTGAAATTGATAACTTTTTGTGAGAGCATTTCTTGGACTTGAAGTGTGAAGATGAGTTGTAGGAAATGTCATTATCTTCAAAATGAGCTTTGGATGGGATTTTTCTGATGAACCATGAAGAAGTTATGCCTTAGTCAATTTGCAGTTGACTTTTCAACTGTCCAAAAATAGAAACTTTTGCATCTTGAGACTTTTTGGGCTATGCTTTGAGAATCATGATCAAGAATTGATCAAATGATGTTTGTGGCTTCAAAATATGATGTTGACCAAATTTTTTTACTTTTGACTGTCAAATGACCATTTTGCCCCTGCAGTTGACTGTGAAGCATTTAGGATTTTTGACTGTGCAATTTGATACTGTGAGTCTTGAAACTTGACATATGGATGCTTGACAATGTATATGGGCATGTGGGACTTGATTGGACCCTTGGAAACCTCAATTTCTTTGCAAGAACCAAAACCCTAATTTTGACTGTGTTAGGAGGCAATTGGACTGTGCAACCCTTGAGGGATTTTGAACCATTTGGAGATTGTCCTAGGCAAATCTTGAAGAATATGGGAGGGCAAATTTTGGGGTACAACAGTGGATATAAAACATATTCCCAGAATTGATAATCAGGAGGCAAATGACTTGGCTCAAATAGCTTCAGGATATAAGACATCTAAAGAAAAACTCCAATATCTCATAGAAACAAGAGGCATAATAATGGCTACCAAATTATCACCATTAGACTTGAAAAGTTCAAAACTGGGTTATGAAGATCAGAAAGAATTCGAAGTACTAAATATTGATACTTTGGCAGATACAGATTGGAGAAGTCCCATAGTAAATACCTGAAATAACCTTTAGTAAGTACAGAGAAAAAGATCAAATATAGGGCTTTGTCTTATGTCCTAATAGGGAATGACCTTTTTAAGAAAACCCCAAAAGGTATATTACTCAAGTGTTTAGGAGAAAATGAAGCATATTTAGCATTATCCAGTGTGCACAGTGGGGAATGTGGGGCATATCAAGCAGGTCACAAAATGAAATGGTTGTTGTTTTGATATGGAATGTATTGGCCCACTATGCTCAAAGACTGCATAGAATTTGCTAAAGGATGCGAGGAATGCCAAGTTCATGCAGGTGTTCAACATGCTCCTGCAAGTGAGTTACATTCAATTGTTAAACCTTGGCCTTTTAGAGGATGGGCATTAGATCTAATTGGTGAAATTCGACCAGCATCGTCCAAAGGACAGAAATATATCCTTGTGGGTGTAGATTATTTTACAAAATGGGTCGAAGCAATTCCTCTAGTGAATGTTGATCAAGAGGCTATTATGGAATTTGTCCATAGGCAAATAATTTACAAGTTCGGAATACCAGAAAGTATCACAACAGATCAAGGTTCAGTTTTCACAGGGCGAAAAATGCAGGAGTTTGCAAAAGAAATGGGATTTAAATTACTCACGTCAACTCCTTATTATGCTCAAGCTAATGGACAAGTAGAAGCAGCCAATAAAGTCATAATAGGTTTGATAAAGAAACATGTAGGATGAAAGCCAAGAAATTGGCACAAAACTTTGGACCAAGCTTTGTGGGCATGTCGAACATCTCCTAAAGAAGCAACGAATACTACTCCGTTTCGACTTACATTTGGACACGACGCAGTGTTGTCAGTCGAAATACACTTATAGTCAGTAAGAATCCAAAGACAAAATGAAATACCAGCTGATCAATATTGGAAAATGATGATGAATCAATTAGTGGACGTGGATGAAGATAGGCTACATGCTTTAGAAGTTATGAGAAGACAGAAAGATAGAGTAGCTAGAGCATACAACAAAAGAGTTAAAAGTAAGTTGTTCTCAACCAATGACCTGGTATGGAAAGTTATATTACCTATGGATAAAAAGAACAAATTATTAGGTAAATGGTCACCCCATTGGGAGGGTCCCTTTCGTGTTTTGAAAACATTTTCGAATAATGCTTATGAAATAGAAGAATTAGCAGAAGATAGAAGAATCTTGAGGGTAAATGGGAAATACTTAAAAAGGTATAAGCCATGCTTGCAAGAGGTTAGAATCACTGCAGGATAATGAAAAATATATATAAACAAGAAGCCAAAATGGTATTATATAAGTGCCAGAATGGTTGTGTTCAATCATTTACAATAAAAAGCATTAACAAAATACATTCAACAGTCAGAAAGGGGCGTTTCGTTTCAACTTAGCAAACTTGCTCTTGCATAAGTTGATTTTGCATTGGGTAGTATTTCTGACGTTTTCGAGCCCTTTGATTTCTTCAATTATTCCTTCAGCCACCTCCATCTGTTGAAGACTTTGTGTAACAAGATTTTCAAGCTCTTGGTCATCAACAAACTTCAAGGCTGCCTTCTCATTTCGAGCACCCTCAATCTTCTTCTTAAGTTCTTCAATCTGAGATTCCCAAAACATGATTGATCGAGCCAAGACATCATGCTTGTCTTGGGCCTGGATTTTAGCGCGCTCCAACTTCTCTGCTTCTTCAGAAAGTTTTGAAGTTTGATCGTAAGCTTTAGACAAAGATTCTTGTTTGCTTCGAATTTTAGCCTCAGCATCATTAACCCTAATATATTCACTGCTAACCTCATTGAGCAAGATTTACAGATCATATATGGTTTCACTTACTTCAAGTGGACAAATGCTAAGATCTATTTGAGAAAGCAACTTCTTCATCGGAAAATAGGCTGCAGTATTTGCTTTTAGAATGGTAAAAATGTCAGCCTCAAGAATAGTTTTGTTGACTTGTTGAATAAGTTGATCAAGAGAAGTAAGAGGGGCATTGTCCTTTATTTGGCTGGAATCTTCAGATTGATTTTTGCTAGACGAAGAATCTCGTTGAGCTAGCATTAGTTTGATATATTTCAGGGGATTGCTCCATTTTAGCTCTTCCTTCTGTTCCCCAGTCAAGATTGGAGGGTCTGGGTTTTTAGTGAAAATAGTCCCAGTAGGTACTGGAACTTCCACCTCCTCTTGCGCTATCTCATCTTCGTCACCATCTGCGAAGTAACGACTCACAGTATGTGTGTCACTTTCCTCTTCAGATTGGTTAGCAAAATGTACCCTTCTTGGAGAAGAGTCACTAGGATTGTCATTGATGAGAGTTTCGAGCGTTGTGTATCGTTCGCCAGCTACATGGCCCTCTGTCAAGGGAGGCGAAGTTGCTTGTTGGTCTAAAGCTTCGACCAATGGAGGCGAGGTTGCTTGTTGATCTAAGACTTCGATGGTCTCTGCAGGAGTAGCAGCAGTGGACGAACCTTTATTTAAAACAGCTTCGTTGAAACCTTCTGGTTGAGAGGAGGCTGCAAGTTTGGAAGCTTGGCCTTGAATGGCTGGAGGATCAGAAAGAACAAAAGGAGCGCTCTGCATAGAAACAAAGGGTTAGCATAAAGAAGATTACATAGTCAATTCAAAAAGGCATTGAAAGAGATTTACCTTTTGTTCATCAGAAGTTGCATTGCTACCAATGCATTCTGAAATTACATTCTTCGAAGACTGAGGCTTCGAAGATCCTTTGGATTTGACCTTGGGAGCAGTCACATTCACTTTGTTTTTTGAAGGATTGGCAAGTTGAGAACCTTCGCCAGATTTGTTGACTTTCTTTTTCTTTTTTCGTTTTAGAGGAGAAATGTCTTCATCTTTTTCTGATTCATTTTCAGAATGGGCACTTTCGTGTTTTTGTTTCTTAGGAGACTTGGGAGGTAACCCACTTTCCTGGAGAAATAGGTTTGAATAATTAGTCAAATTAAAAAGTAATTTCGACAATAAGAAAGGAGTGAGCGAAGTATTACCTTTTTCTTTTTTGAGGAGTCATCTTCTTGGTCAGAAGGAGGATTCTCAGTAGTGGTTATTGACACTTTCAAAGAAGAAGTTGAACCTGCCTTGGGTACAACTTTATCCTTTTTCAAGGATTTTAGATCAACAACTGAAAGGAATATCAAATGGTCAATTTTAAAACAAAGTTTAGGAAGAATAAGGGAGCTTCGAATTTCTTCAGTTCCGCACCTTCGCTGTTTTGAGACGTGATAGACATGGCTGACAAGTCATAGCGAAGGTGCCCCCTGAAATTGTTTAAATCACATTTAGCCCACGTTACCCTTTGGGCAGGTTTTTTGGCATCATTTTCACACAAATGAAAAACGTTCCCACAAACGAGCCACCAGGGATACGGAGGAAAAAAGGCTAAAGCCAGCTCTGAAGTAGGTAGGTTTGGAAATTTTGGTGTTTGATGTTTAAAAGCCCACCAATACCTATCTTCAGGTTTTACATAAGGAGGAAATCGAATTTTTGAAAGTTGTTTTTCAAATTTTTCTTTCAAAGTTCTTGCTGCTTCGCAGACAGTTCAATGTATCTCCATAGGATTATAGACAATTTCGAAATATTTTTGAAAGGCTCGAATTTCCTTGACATGAGTAAATCTACCTTTTTTGACGTGTTCCTGCACAAAGGAAAAAGTTGTCGTCAGTTGTTTTTGAATTTGGATGGTGCTGAACATATTCTTCGAATAATAAGCCGTCCACCAAGTATAAAAATCTTTCGTCATGTAAAAGGAAGGAGTAAAAAAGACTAATGAGAAGTCAGCAAAGCCAGCATATTTCTTTTGACGAATTTTGATTTCCTTGAAGGAGTAAGGTACCCCTGCTAAGCATATCTCCCTTTTCTTATTGAAGAGAGGCTCAGGTAGAATCTGGCATAATGCGAATTGGCGAGCCACGGAATTAGGTTGATAAGCAAGGATACACACTTGGATCTTCACATGCGTGATCCTAGAAATAATAAGCCTAGGGTTTAAAAAGGCACACCAAATGTCCCTAATTATCTCTTCTTCAATGGCTTGTTCAAGGGGCATGGTAAACCAAGTTGGACCATAGTTTCGATTGGCAAAAGGGGCCATTGAAGGGTCAAACCTATGTCTTTTGGAGAAAGTCATTGTATAGTTAACGAAGCATGTTTTGAAATTTTCTCTTTCATCGTTTGGGGTTAGTTTTAACAACCTAGTGCCTTCGATGCTTCGATTTATAACGTCAGGATGTTCTTCATTGATAACCCTAAAGGTTGATAGAGATGGTTTGAAAGTTGCATTTAACCAAAGCTGCAATAGCCAAAAGGGGCCAGCAAGAAGCAGGTTAGTGCCAGATTCATAGGTTTTTAGTTTTGAAACTGCAGCACCTATGCTTTCATATAGGCTTGTCAGCAGTAACTCACTGATGCATACCCTTCGACCATGATGAAGTTGATTTGCAAGGGTGATGAACCTGCTAGCAACTTGTAGAGACTTGCTGCAGAAGACATATTTTGATAACCATAGCGCCAGAAAAGCTATATGTTCAACATCAGAAACCTCTTCCTCGGCAGGGTGATAGAGATTGATGTATTTTTAAAAACTGGAATTCTTGACATCAAAGTCAATGAGGTTATCCGCATCTTCGTTTGGATTGAAAGTCTCCCCAATAGGGGAAAGTCCAGTTATGGCAGCAATATCAAAGAATGTAGGTGTCAACATTCCACAAGGGAGATGGAAAGTATTATAGGTGTTATCCCAAAAGTATAAAGAGGCTAGCAAAAAAGGTTGGCTGTAACTGAAACCTAATTTTGACATTCGAACCAGGTTTAGGATACCTATACTTTCCCATTCCTGGGATTTCTTATGTTCAACTTTCGAAAGCCAGACTTGGTATAATTGGTCTGACGAGGGACATGAGCGAAATGGTTTGAAATTCCCAGTAACATAGTCCATGCAAAAAGCGTCCCTCGTAGGTTGTGACATTTCTGTGTCATGTGTATTCTCTTTTAAGGTTTTGGACAGTTTCACAACCGATTCGTCTTCCTTAAGTTTTGGAGAAAGGGATTTGTTAACAATGGGTTTTGTTTTTGAATACGCGGGAAAAAATCCCTTCGTTTTTTCTAAACGATCCATTGAGATTAGAGGACCCATAACTCCTAGGGCTTTATTAAGAACAGTGGTAGGAATGATTACCTAAGAAGCGTAGATAGCTTTTTGTTCCTGAGTGAGTTTAGGGGTTGAAATGAACTCCTGATTATCAAGGTTGATAATCTTGCTTGCTGGTGTAGGAATGGAGGAAGAAGTTTGCTTGGACTTTCCAAACTTCTTGGATGAGGAAGGTAGCGCTGAAGACATTGTGAAAATAATTTTTTTTATGATATCTGAAAACAAGAAATCTGGTTGTTTGAAGAATGAGCAAGTTCGGAAAAGTTGAAATGAAGAAGATGATGTATTTTATAGCCTTCCTCAACAGTTTAATAGTTTTTGACCTTTGGAAAAAGGTGGGATACGTGTAACTCCCTCATTGGAAAGAGAAAAGGTGGATTTTTTTTTAGCTTCCTAGGGAAGTGATGTTTTTTGCTGCTAATTATTAGCTATAACTGCTGATTGCACATTTTGGTGTGGTGATTGGACGTTTTGCAGAAAGTTGGACACTTACTCTGCCATCGTGTGCAGTATGGTCATCATGAGTTTTTGATACTCTCGAAATAGCCTGGATGAGTCAAAAACAAGTATTTCTTTATATCTATCGAAATACATGTTCTTGAGGGGCAATTTGTTAGCTGGCTATTTCGAATAAAGAAGAAACCACTATCAAAATAATATTTCGAATAAGTATCTAGGGAGATTGATATCAATATTGGATATTGGTGGGAAATATGGAGTCATTGTGCTGAAGGATTATTCAATTTCCAGTGGATTTCGATTTGGATTTTTTAGTGTTCGAAATATAAAGAGCTCTTTTATGCAAGGGTGCCAGAATTGGAAACGGTCCAGGTAATTGGGTTATTTCGAAAGCGACGAAGAAACAAGATGCTTCGATTGGTATAGATTTCGAATTTCAAATAGGAGCGCCATTCTTAGAAGACGCGTGGAAGTCAGTAAACATAGGAAGCCTGCATGCTTCGAATGTGGCGTGATTTTAGAATAGGACCGTTAGGGTCAAGACACTATAAATAGGTGTTCTTATGTTAGATTTAGCATGTTCATTTTTATGTACTAAAAGATCTCAAAACACTCAAACTACCGTGAATTAAGGGAAAAGAGTCAGAAGACACAATGTACGTATTGAACATCATCATTCTTTACAATTTCAATACGAGTCTTTTTATATTTTAGTTCGCTATTACAGTATTTCTGCCCTTAAATCCTTCGATTTCCTTGCATTTCCTTGTTTTACTTGCCTTTAAACACAATTATTTCGTTAGAAACTTTACTTTCACTTTATCCTTTTATTCAAACACTTATCTTTACATTCAAGCATTAAATCCTAAGTCTAATTCGAAGCCTCTCCTTTCTACATTCAGTTAGTGTATTCCTATAGACAATTTTAGAGATCTTTCCTAAGAATCTCATATTCAAACTTAACACACAATATAAGTCTATCAAGATAATGAGTATGAACATAGAAATGAGTTATGACACATGTGTTCTAGGATCAATCTAGTCGATCCTGCAAGTAACCAATAATAATTAGTAAACTGGAAGACTAGCGGTTGTTTACTAGAAATCACTGTAAACAGTTGGTGCATACAAGTTATATTCACCAATTGAAGATAAACTAGTGATCAGTAGAGATGTTCTTGTAGACGAAAGTAAAGGGTGGGATTGGAATCGAAGTTCAGTTCGACAAGAATCAGACACAATCACAACTGTGTTTGAAGAAGATGAAAATAACGAAGCTTCGACAAGTCAAAATGTACAAGGTGATACTTCGACTGATCGAAATGAAGAACCACCTGTGCAGAATGAAAGAAGATCCATAAGAACAAGAACTGAGTCGACTAGGCTGATTGGATATGAGAGGTTTCTAGATCAAGCAATTGATGCAGATGGTGACTTAATCGAAGAAGCCATGATGATGGCTGAAGAAGAACCAATTGATTTGGGTGAATCCTTGAGAAATTCGAATTGGTGTGAAGCCATGAAATAAGAACTTAGAGCCATTGAGAAGAACAAGACTTGGGAGCTTGTCGAAAGAACCAACAAGAAACCAATCGACGTGAAATGGATCTACAAGGTGAAACGAAGGCCAAATGGTGAGATTGAAAAGTATAAGGCAAGATTGGTGGCCATAGGTTTTCTACAAAAACTTGGTATTGACTTCGACGAAGTATATGCACCTGTTGCAAGGATCGAAACAATCAGGATTGTTGTTTCGATAACTGCATGTAGAGGATGGAAAATGCACCAACTTGATGTGAAGTCATCATTTTTGAATGGTCCATTGGAAGAAGAATTCTACGTTACTCAACCACCAGGTTTCAATGTTAAAGGGCCGGAGTCAAAAGTTTACAAATTAAGGAAGGCTCTTTATGGCTTGAAGCAAGCTCCTAAAGCTTGGAATAAAAGGATAGATAGCTTCCTAATCAAAGCAGGTTTAACAAAGTGTGTCTCTGAACATGGAGTGCATGTAAATGATGTCGAAAGTGTCAATCAAATCATTTTATGCCTCTATGTTGGTGACTTACTCATTACAGGAGCAGACGAAGCTGAGATAATGAAGGTAAAGTCAATATTAATGCAGGAATTTGAAATGGCTGATTTAGGGAATCTCTCTTATTTCCTAGGAATGGAACTCAAAGACGTCGAAGAAGGAGTTTTCTTGCATCAAACAAAGTATTCTCAAGATATACTGAAGAGGTTCAATATAAGCAACTGTAAGGCAGCTGTTACTCCATTAGAGACTGGAGCAAAGTTGAAAAAGGAATCGAATGATGAGTTTGTAAGTTTGAATATTTACAAACAAATCATTGGATCCTTGAGGTATTTTTGTAATACTAGACCAGATATCTTCCAAAGTGTAGGATTTTTGAGCAGATTTATGGAGAAGCCCCATGAATGTCATCTTATTGCAGTAAATAGGGTGTTGAGATACATTAAGGTAACCATTGATCATGGTGTGTTGTTACCAAAGAAGTCGAAGAACAGTACAGATGTCGAAGTGCAAGGATACACTGACTCAGATTTAAGTGGAGATCAAGATGAAAAGAAGAGTACTGCAGGATATATTTTCATGATCGAATGAGCTCCAATCGCCTGGAGTCCGAGGAAGCAAAGCACTATGGCTTTGTCATCATGTGAAGCAGAATATGTGGCTGCATCATATGCTGCATGCCAAGCAACATGGATCGAAATGCTACTTGAAGAACTCATAATAATGGAATAGAAGATGAAGTTGTTTTGTGATAATAAGTCAGCTATAAACCTCGCAAATCACTCAATGTGTCATGGTCGAAGTAAGCACATTGAAAGAAGATATCATTTTCTGAGGGATCAAGTCAACAAAGGGAAGCTTGAAATAAACATTGCAAGACAAAAGTGCAACTAGCTGACATATTCACCAAACCTATGAAGAAAGTGAGGTTCGAGGAGTTAAAGAAAGACATTGGGATGAGAAGTCTTGATAACATGAATTAAGGGGGTGTGTTAGTTGATTAATTCTTGTTATGTAGTTATTTGGACTTTTTAGTATGTATTTGGGCCTGGACTATTTTGCCTATATAAAGAGTCATTGTGTTTGTAATAGTAAGCAACAATAATAACTGAATTCAGTTTAGATAGTTAGTTATACATAACTAACTCATCAATCCTCTCTCTCTCTCTCTCTCTCTCTCTCTCTCTCCTTCTTCTTCTTATTTTCACAATATTCATCTTTCTTGAATCTTTTGTTCCAACAATTATATTACTTAATATGTTTGATTTCTAAGGCCCAGTCTGTTCCTTTGAACATTGGATGTTTGAAGAATCTCAAAAGGTTGTCGCTTTATTCAAATAAACTTCCAAGTAAATTACCTAACTCACTCAAAAAATTGAAACATTTGGTAGAGTTGGACGTTCATAACAACACGCTTACCGGTGGAATACATGATAAAGTTGATGAAATGCTTTCTCTTCAAATGCTTGATCTTTCAAACAATTTGTTAACTGGGAAGGTACCATCTTCACTAACTAATTTAATTGTCATTTCGGTTTTGTACCTTAACACCAACTATCTCGAGGAAGCCATTTCATTTCCCTCAGGACCGGGTGAAATGTCTTGTTTAGCCTTATTAAGACTCGATAACAATCATTTTGCTGGAAATATACCTTCCAATTTTGGTTATCTAGTATCACTTCGAAGAGTTTCTTTATCAAACAACAGACTTAAAGGAACACTGCCATCTAATTTAGGTAATCTGGTATCATTGACCGAGTTGTATATCAGTGAGAATTTCTTATCTGGCCAAATACCAAAATCAATAGGCAAATTTATCAGCTCATAATGTTGAACATTTCTAGAAATTTGATTGAAGGATCATTACCTCAAGAGATGTTTTCTCTTAAAAATATTCAAACACTCGATCTTTCTTTCAACCATTTGAATCTCTCTTCAACTCTTCAATGTTATCAATCATACACCTACATGATTGAAATGGTCATTAGGAATCTCTAGTAGTTGTAAAAATAAAATGTACATAGATTGAAACAAAAAATTGAAAATCAGCCTTAGATATAAATGACCATCTCAACATTTTTACACTTAAGTAACTGTAGACATGGAGTTGTTCGCACTGTTTACCCAAGCAAAATTATTTTTTTCAAGATTCAGACTTAGGTGACAGCTGAATTATTGCATCATACTCTGCATCATGTTGAGGGGCTGCAACATACACTTACACATACCCTCCATAACATAAACATATAAAAAACAGATTTATGTCATGAACCACATTTCAACAACAAATTCAAAACTAGTACAATCATTAACAAGGCATTCTAAACAAATTCAAATAACCAAAAACATATTATTTAGCAGTATTATTTAGGGAATAATCGTTGGTAGTAATACAATATTATTTAGGGAATAAATTATACACATTAAGTAATAAATTAATGCTTGAATTTCAGTTGGTGGCTAACCTAAAGTACCATTGCCAGTTGAAGATATCATTTCTGACCCGTCATTCCTAGTTGAATTGCTACTCTCAACTGATTTTAAAATTTTGTCTTTTGATATTGTTGTTTGAGAAGCTTTCGCAATCACAAACATAAAAACATCAGATTCTCTCAGACTTTGAATATTGATCTGCAAAGGCAATGTTTTGGAATAAAAGTTAGAACATCCTCTAAGAACTGTAAGATAACAGTATAAATTGCTTGGGTAGAAGCCAGAAAGTAAATTCGAGGAAATAAACTTTTCCATGGGCGCATAAATGCGATATAAGATGTCATTTCTAATAAGTTTCATCTTTAATGCTTTGTCAGTCCATACAATGTGTCACAGTACATAAATGAAAAATAAATTAACTTGAAGACAAATTGATATAGAAGTTGAGGCTGCTCACACAATTTTACGATAGACTAAGAGCCATACAAATTTAATATGTTTGATATTGTTCATTTCTAGTCTTCATCTATGTATCTAATACTATTTTTGATTTATACTGTAAGATATTAATGTTCCAACGAAACCTTTATTTCAGGAGCCAAATCCACTGAATTCTCACTTGCCACAATGTCTACCAGCAAATCATCTAAGAATAACCTAAGCTCCTCGACGCAGATTTACTATTCATTCCCACATAGTTCATGTTTTAAATTACAACTAATAGAAAATGTAAATAATTCCATACAGTATAAGACTATGATTGTATGAACAAACGAAAAATGTAAATAACTGACATATATAAACAAAAAGTTTAACTGCTTATTTCAAACCTTCCAAAACTTACCATGGAAGCATTTCTTCCTCAGTAACAGTTGAAGCAATTATGAACGCCTACGTCGGACACAAAACAGAGTAGTTAGATTATAAATATATATACATGAGCAAACAAATACTCCAAAAAATTCAATTTCAATTCATAAGATGATATTCAAGTAATAAAAATCAGGCTTCATTATGATTTACAAACAAACAAATACTCCAACAAATTCAATTTCAATTCATAAAATCAAACATTAAAACCCTAGCAGTCACAATGATTAAGAAGTTAAACTCGAATCAAACCCTAAAATCAAGAAATAAATCACTACCTGCTTATACTTCTTCCGCAACGTCCATCAGTAGTCTCAATTTTAGTGTTGTCAAAGCGAAAAATAGAGAGAAGAGAGAATTGGAGAATGATTAGAAAAAGAGGAACATCAGGAACTAAGAAGCGATAACGAACAAAAGGAGATAGGGGGTCAATATTCAGTGCCTTTGAGGCATAAATCCTTCTCCAGGAGATAGACAATAAGGGTTTCAGATGAAAGGGAAAGGGAGAATAATGAAACGATAAAGAAGCGATGGGTTTTTGTGGTTTTTCAACTGCTCATCATCGATATCAGCAAAGAGGGAAGAGTGAAATTAAGAGACTCTATGTATATGTATTACATATATGTTGCAGCTCGAAAATCTCAAAAGTTTATGGAAAGTTGAAATTGATTGATGGTTATTTAGTTTTTGACTTCTCATGTTCTCCAGAAGCATGAATGTGTTTTAAAAGAATTCAAATGAGTGTTTAGTTAGTAATGAGTGTAATAAATAATAAGGTGATTTAAGGGATAAAAAAATAAAATAATGTAATACAATGTTATGTGTTGATAGATCAGATACAATAATGACAAAACAATGTGGTGAGAGTAATGTGAAAAAAAGTCTAATGTGTCATTGTAATTAGATTAAATGTTAATTGGTATTAGAGGGGTAATATTTAGATTTTCATATACTTTTATTTTTATAGATAGATGATAGATATTATTTTAATACACCTTTTTGAAACGTCTATAAATCAAATATTTAAAAATTGGGATTTTTTATAGAGATAAAAGTGTTCTAGCTCAATTGGACAAAAAATATTGATACATTTTTACATTGTAAATCAAAGTTGAAATCATAATTAAAAATATTTAAATTTTTATGTCTCAAACATAATTACTTTTATACATAAAATATATGGAAAATTAAAATAACGATGATTTTAATACATGAGAAATCAATATAATTGTCTTAGTTATGTCTTTTGTGGAGTACGAGTGATCGTTAGATGAAGAACATGTGACTCGGAGTGAATGGAAGGTGTAATCATGTGTGGTGACACTTAAGGCGAGTTTGCATTTGCAACAACACGAGAATTCTCTAAAGAGGTGAACCCATGTGGACTGGGTCGGTCTAGTGGGTTGTGGTCTTCTCCAAAATAATTATTCCACAAATCTTTGATGTACTCCATGAAGTGATGATCATTGATATAAAAGTATGTGAGGTTGGTCTATAAGTCTTAATCGAAGTGACCTTGTCCATTGAGTGGAGGCTCATTGTGCATTGTAACGAGTCGCATTCTGTGTCGCATATTTAACATGTTGTATTGTTGACTTGTGATGATTGATGTTGGTTGAAAGTTGTGAAGTGGTGATTTTATATAATCTGATCTGATAAATTGTTTATCATACACTCAATTATATGGTTCGATATCTCACCCCTTTTGTTTGAATATTGTCCTCTGTTGGTAACGTGTATGTAATCAAGAAGGATAGATGTTACCTTCGTTAGTTTAAGTTAGTGTTGTCGCTCTGATACGTAGTAGTCGGGTGGATGAACGCATGTTTTCTTTATTGTTGGTTTTCATTATGTTGCTGAATTTTTAAGTTGTTTTCATTAAAGACTTGTTTTCTTAAAGCCGTTTTGAGTTGGAGAAGATTTTATGATGTTTTCAGTTGAATTTGTGAATCCACTGCGTAGCAACGAAAGTTGTTTTATTTTTAAAGACTAAACAGGTTGTTATCGGTTCATCCAAATTTTATGTGTTACGTATTTGAACTATAGGTGATTGAATATCATTGTTTCCAATTTGAAAGTGTAGCATTCCATTGTTTGCTGGAAATTTTATAACTCCGATTTTATATAATTCGTTGGGTAGAAATGAGGTGTTATATTAGTGGTATCAGAGTAGGTCGGTCTGTTCGGCCAAGTTGTCAAGTCGTAGTTTTGTCTAACAATCGAGTATTGTCAATTTGAGCTTTAACCATCGTTTATGTTATAGTGATAAGTTGAGATGGCTGGAAGGAATGACGTTGTACTTGCTGCTGCTTTGGAAACAATGGCACATTTTATGGAAAATCAGACGAATGTTGATGGGAATGCTGGATCTCGTAGCTTGGCGACCTTCCAGAGGGAGAATCCGCCTACCTTCACGGGTAAGTATGATCCCGATGGAGCGTTGGATTGGTTGAAAGAGATTGAGAGAATCTTCCGTGTGATGGACTGTACTCCATCATAGAAGGTTCAATATAGTACTCATATGCTAGCAGTTGAGGCTGATGACTGGTGGCTAGAGACTCATCTGAGGTTGGAAGCTGCAGGTGAAAATATTACTTGGGTTGTATTTCATAGGGAATTTCTGAGGAAGTATTTCCATGAAGTCGTTCGTGGTAAGAAGGAAATTGAGTTTCTTGAGCTGAAGCAAGGGAGTATGTTGGTTACCGAATATGATGCAAAGTTTGTTGAGTTGGCTAATTTTTACCCGCACTACAACGAGACAAATGCTGAGTTTTCAAAGTGCATCAAGTTTGAGAACGGATTGCACCCAGAGATCAAGAATGCAGTTGGATACCGGAAGATTCGTGTCTTTACTGATTTGATTGATAGTTGCAGGATCTATGAATAAGATAATAATGCTCAGTATAATATTATCAATGAGAAGAGGGGTAAGCACCAAAATAACCGTGGTAAGCCTTACAATGCCCCAACTGATAAAGGTAAATAGAAAGTTGCTCAGGATCAAAGAACTAGTGGGGGAGATGCTCCTCTGGTGTGGTTTGTTTCAAATATGGAAAACCTGGTCATAAAAGCAACGTGTGTACTACTGAGGTGGATAGGTGTTTCCGTTGTGGTAAAACTGGACATGCTATATCTGAGTGCAAGCATAAACAAATGATTTACTTCAATTATGGTGAATAAGGACACATTGGTAGTCAGTGTCAGAAACCAAAGAAGGCGCAAACCAGTGGTAAAGTGTTCGCATTGGTTGGGACTCAGACAACTAATGAGGACAGACTCATGAGAGGTACATGCTTCATTAATAGTACTCCTTTAATTACTATTATTGATACCTGTGCTACTCATTACTTTATTGCTGCTGATTATGTTGAAAGATTGGGTCTTATGTTGTCTATTTTGAATGGAGAAATGGTCGTCGATATTCCAGCTAAGAGATCGGTGCCTACTTCTCTTGTATGTTTAAAGTGTCCTTTGTCGATCTTCGACCGAGACTTTGCTGTTGATTTGGTTTGTTTTCCTTTAAGTGGGTTAGATGTGATTTTAGGTATGAATTGGTTAGAACATAACTATGTTCATATTAACTGTTATAACAAGTCAGTGAGGTTTTCAAATCCTGAAGAGGAGGAAGTTGGTATGTTGTTTGCTAGACAGTTGAGGCAGTTGATGCAAGAAGAGGCTCAGATGTTCTCGTTGATGGCGTCGCTATCTGCCGATAATCAAGTTATAATTGAGGAATTGCAAGTGGTGCGTGAATTTCCTAGAGTTTTCCCTGATGAAATTCCCGATGTACCTCCAGAGAGAGAATTCAAATTTGCTATTTGTGATACGGTGGGAGAACTGACTTGAGGTTTTGCGTTTGTATTCGCACTTGTTCGGTTTAGCAAGAGTCGCCACCGACTTTTTATTTTATCCTAAAGGAAAGGTTAAAAAGCACAGGAAAAACCTTTGAGATGTTTTCGTGGGTTCGGGGGGTAGATTATGAAAAGGGAAGGTGCTATCACCCTTTTCATCCATGGTTATCCACGGGCTCTTAGTTACTTGTTTTAGATCACTTGCCTTGATTTTCAATTGTTTGAAATGGTGTTTGTGTGTGTGTGGTTTTGAAAATGTTTTGAAAAAGATGCCTTGTCTAGGCAACCGTTGTAACAATTCTTTACTCGAATGTTTTACAAAGGTGTTTGTCTTTTTGAAAAGATGTTTCAATGTTTTTTTTAAAGTTGTTTTGGAAGTTGTGTTGTGGAGAGTGTTTTGAAAGTAGGCAAATGTGTTTTGCAAGTTTGATCAAGTAACTAAGAGTTGTCTACCCTATTGTTCTCAAAGATCTTTCCTATGTTTTAACCCTTTTAACAGTATTGTTCCACCATTGTATTTGGTGGACAATCTTGTGTTAGGATGTTAACGAGACGGGCGCGGGTCATCGTATAGACCATGAAAGCAATAGTGTCAAGTATCTTTGGCAATTTGCTTGAGGGACTATGATCATTTTGTTTAGACAACTTCGAAAGCGTCATCGAGGGACTATGATCATTTGATTTGTTTTTGTTTTGCCAAAGTATTCGACATGCAAACATGGCCCATTTTGGAAGGCAACGAGTGGAGGATTACCCTAGGGGTGCAAGTGTGATTGGTGTATTGATTGTCATGCATTTATCTTTGTATTAGGTTATCTAGCGGTTGATTTTGAATTTTCGCATACAAACCCTAATTACTATACAGTATATAGAAAGCGATAAATTGCGGGAATTTAAAGTCTAAGCTATTACAAATAAGTATCCGGGAATGGGGGTACAAATGTTTACAAATGGGGATGAGTCTTATCAGGATAGTAGTGTCCAAATAATATTTACAACCAAATCGAATCGCATTCTCAATGTAAAGTATAGCCAAGTATAAGAATCAAAGAGAAATAAAAATATTTGTGAAAGTGTATATAATTATTTACAAGTGATATAAATGTTAAGTATATTTATTTATTTTTGTGTTTTTGTTAATATTATATAAACAAAAGTTTTAAAGAAAAGAAATATTTAATCTTAAAGAAATTCTATTTTTTAGGTATTTTTGTTAATGTTTTTATGTACATGATTTAATTTAAAATAAAAATATTTTAACTTAATAAAGAAAAAATTGCTAAACTTAATAAACCTAAGATTTATGCCTTTTTAATTGTTCTAAAAGGTATTAATAAAATTTTTTACATGAAAAATTAGTATATTAATTAACAATAAAAAAAGGAAAGAATTAAGTTATGAAAAAAATAAGAATTAAGTGATAATAATAAAAAGGTGTTGGTTTTCAAAAATATATAAAAAAAAAGAGTTAAGAAAATTTAATGGGCTTAGGGGTATCTATGGCCCAAAGTGTAAAATAAAGATGGATTCACAAAGGGGGGTGTGCACACGCTGAAGGAGGGGTAAGGTGCCAAAATCATTGGGCTTTAGGGATTTGTTTTCAAGGGACAGGCCCAACGCATGTTACAATTTTGTTTAGGGTTTCGTTGGCTTGTTTCAGAACAAGGGTTTTGTGTTGTACGAACGGCGCTCTCATCTTCTTCTTCGTTGTCTTCTTCATCTTTCTTGAGCCAAGCTTTCTGAACGAACCTCCGCTCCACCTATGGCCACTAGGCGCCACCTCCAACTCCTCCTCCCTCCATGGTTAAGCAAGGCGGTGGCAAGAAAAGGTATCGGTTCTCAGCTTTTCATGTTTTAGGGTTTCAAAGATTTATCTCTTGCATGTTTTACCTCTTACACGCTATTGATTTTTATGTGTTATCTTTGTTTGTGTGAGGTGTGTAAAAAGGGAGAAGAAATTACTACCTTTGGAGAGGAGACAGAGAACTTGGACCGGAGGTGTCTTAGGCGGTCGGAGACGTGGGACTGGTGAAGAGGCTTGTTGGCTCCCTGGTATTTGTATCTTGCTTGCCTCCGTGGTTTTATGATGATAGTTTTCTGAAAACCCTAGCTTAAGTTCTTCTTTTCCTCTTCTGATCGCTTGCCTCTGTGATGCTTTCTTCTGAGTTGCTTTCTGGCTTGTTGATATTGAAATGTTGATGCTGTTCTGATGACTGTATGCTTGTTTTTTTTACAATGATGATGATGTTTGAATCTGAGTTTGTTCCTGGGTTTGCTTTGAGTTTGAGATGCTTGGACTTGCTTGAATTTTGATTGCTTGCTTCAGAGTTGTTGATATGCTAACCCTATGATGAACATATTCTGAGGGCTTTTGTTTGATATCTAGTTTGGATTTTGAACAAGTTGCCGAGTTTAGGCTTGAGTGACTTGTTGGGTTTTGAAAGGCTTATTGGTACAGGCAGGCTTATAGTCTTATGCAGGCTTAAGGTAGTTAGAGCAGGCTTTGAAAATGAACAAGTTTTTTAGGTTTGTTGTTCAGGGGTTTTGAGGCAGGTTGATACAGTTTGAACACAGGTTTGTAGTTTTTTGAGGTATTTTGATATAGTTTGAAGCTTAGCAGGTTTGTATGGCTTTGAGCAGGTTTGAAAGGCAAGCTTGAATGCTGTATAGTTTTTTGACAGGCTTTGTATGGTAT